TGTTCGAAGTAAGTAATGTAAGGAATTTGGAGTCCCACTAGGTTGGGTAGAGAGTCCTTATGCTTAGTATATTGCTGAAGTTACAATGAGTAACTATGATGCTAAGAAAATATAAGGGGGGTAAGTTACATCACCCTGGCATGAGGACATGCCAATTACAGGATAATTTTGGAGTTTTGATACTATTTTGTGATTTAAGAGTCTCAAATCAGCAATAGTAAATAGTTGAGCAGTTGGGAGCCCCCAACTGCGGATGTATTTATTCTATAAGCTGGCATAACTTTGTTTGGCAGGCAAGTACGTTATTGTTGGCAAGATTTGGTATTGCATTGGCATGAGGACATCCAAGTAGAGGATGGCCATGTTAGATTAAAATAATCGATACCATCTATTGACCAATGGCGTAACTATAAATTGTGAGGATTATACAAGGTGATTCCCCTAAGTAATTGGGTAATTCCCCTAAAGCCTGTGCTTTGGAAAAGTAGATATATATATATATACGTATATTTCAGCAGTTATTCTTTGTTTGTTACACCGATATGTATTCATTGAATAGAGCTCGGGTGTGGTTGGGTGGTGAGCTTAGGGCAACTTAGCCATTTTGCTATATTACGTTAAAACTATCATAACCAAAAAATTAACACAAATATAATTTCTACTTTCACATAACATATTTGAAAATATACACAACATATTTTGTTTTTAATAAAGTACCAAAAATAATTTAAATTATATAATAAATTATTACTATTTAATAAATAAAAAATGAGTACTCTTATTGCATGAATAGTAGCCTTGCAAAGCATCCACGAATGGCTAGGCAGGAAAAATGTACTATTACATTCATAGCAAAAGATTTTAACATCCGTTGCTATCGTTGATGACGCGTTAAATGCTGCAGCAAATTGTAGATGACATTGTATGCATACATATCAATATAATATTCATGTAATTAGGCCATGAAGTAAGTCTTTTTGTCTATTTTAAACTTCACATGTGAAAATACCTTGCTTATATTAGGGGTCCCTGACTCGGGGGTAACATTTAATTGTGTTTAAACTTTAAAGAAATGTTTTTATTAATTTCGTACTGAAAAATGATTTCAAAATAACTTTTAAGATTTTCCATTCTACTTTAGGAAAAATTTTCCACTCTACTTTTTAAAATCAATTGACCCTAAATTAGATTTTATACGAAATTCAACCTTACTAAAATTTGATTATAGTGGGTCTTCATCCTGCTAACTGTAAAGGCGAATATGTATATTTTAAAGAAAAAAATGGGTATTTTTAATATAATTCTTGTTGTAATATAAATCACAAACTTTTACTTTCTGATTTTAATAAATTTCGACCAACTCTAACAATAGAAGTGTATCATTATTTCACTTTTTGAACCGGTAACATTTAATTGTACTTACAGACAATTTTCTTTTTGTTCACTTAAGCTATTTATGGTGTTAAATTTAACTTTAAAATACGAAAATTAAAAAGGGATGGTGATTTTCTGTTAATGTATAATAATATATATCATGGCATTCAAAAAAGTGTAGAATGTTTTATAAATATTATATTAGTTAATTAGGACTCTGCACACAAGCGAAAGCTTAGGCGGGTCACCATATGTTGTAAAAAAATTAAAATGTTTTTTATTAATTAATTGTTTCGACTTTTACTTGATGAAACTCCATGTTAATATTGTTTTATTTTAATATAAACTACACTGTTTAAAAGTTTCACTATTTTATTTAAATATGACAATTGTTTCGCTACACAGTAGCATCTTCAGATCGATCGATCTGAAGATGCTACTGTGTAGCGAAACAATTGTCATATTTAAATAAAATAGTGAAACTTTTAAACAGTGTAGTTTATATTAAAATAAAACAATGTTTTTTATTATTTAAATAAATTGAATTGAATACATTCTTAGGGTAGCCATTTAGTTTATAAACTTATCTAGAAATTTATTATTATTATACTCAATTAAAATTCGTTACTAAAATGATATATAATATACTACTTCCACATTTCAATGCATTGATAAGCCATAAGTCGTTTTATTCACTGGCTGAAGTTGGCTTTATTTTAAATTGCGAAAAAGTGAGGTTAAATCCTGATGGCAGTTGTTAGATGTCAAATGTTTAACCATGGAGCCTACACAAGGAGCCCGAACTTAATAGGGGAAATTGACAAAACCTGCCCTTTAAATCTCACATATTAAGTCATCACCAGCTGCGCTAATTGTCGATGCGTATACGCATAATATATTAACGTCTGCTGTTTTGGTAGCGTTTCGGTACAAATCAAACACTTGTTTATTAATAAACGGAACAACACCGCCCATATATCTTAGGAAGATTTTTGTATACATAAAGGTCGGGCACCTTGTGTAGGCTCCTGATGACAGTAGTGTCAAATGTTTAACAAATCAAATTGGCTTTAAATTCTTCTTTGTATACCTAACTAAAATGGCGTTTATAAAGCTTACATTATACAGGGTGAGTTTTAAGTTGACGCGTTCCGTGTGTAGAAATCAGCTAGACAAATAAATATTTTAAGTAACTTTTTTATCAAAACTTAAAAATAAAAAAGTTATATCCCATCAAAGTTTAATTAAATTTTAAGCCTGTCCTGGCTATTGTTAACGAAAAACATAACCATAAAAATATCAAAATAAACAATGCAAAATGTCATATTTGACAATAAACATAACCATTTAAATCAAATTGACATTTTGCAATAAAAAATGTAATTATTTACTTAAGTTGCAGCATTTGCATTTTGACGACACTCTCCATAAATTAGTAACATTTCCACTAATTCATTATTGCTATAATTATGAACCATTTTTAACAATAATTGAGGCACAAAAAAACTGACATTTTTCATTGCTAAATGTCATTTTGATTTAAATGTTTATGTTTGTTGTCATAGATGACATTTTGCATTGTTTATTTTGTTATTTTTATTTTTATGGTTATGTGTTTTGTTAACAATAGCCAGGACCGGCTCAAAATTTAATTAAACTTGGAAGGCCTATAACTCTCTTATTTTTTAGTTTTGATAATAAAGTTACTTAAAATATATATTTGTTTATCTGATTTCTACACGCTGTTAAAAGGAACGCGTCAACTTAAAACTCACCCTGTACACTATAATTATAATTAATCTACTCCTACATTGAAGAGCTGTAGCTATAGCGTTTTAGTCACGGTCTAAAATTGGCAACAGTGGGTTTTGGGCTTTTTAGTCACGGGCAAAAGTTATTATTATTATAAATAGAAAAAAAGTGAGGTTAAATGGAGTTTATAAAACTCGATACATAATAAAACTATAAGTGGTAAATATAAATTAAGTATTTATCATTATTACTAAAGTTTGGTTTAAATTAGCATAATTTTCACTTTCAGTTTAATTTAAAATTATATTTTTTTTATTTTGGCATGGTTAACGATGTTAATTTAATAATAAAATATATAAATAATATAAAATTTTAGTTTGGTAATATTAATTAAATATAATTACTGCATTTTACTATGTCACTGTAATAAACTATACAGGGTGGTTCTAGACAATATGATTATACGGGAAGGGTTGTGTTATTTTTTAACAGTTTTTTATAATAGGTATAAATTTTTAATTTAACAGTCTACTACAAAATTTCTCTTATGCAAATGTATTTGAATTAGAATTTAAACATTTGGCAAAAATAACGACATATTTTCTTAAATATGTTATATTTAAACAGCCTGATTCTGCTAAAAACCATATTTTTCTACATATAGGCTGTATACCAAAATTAAGTTAAATGCCAAGTTGTATAAAAGTTAAAAATAATAATAAATTATGGGGTTGATTTTTATCTAAATTATATCACATTTATTGAACATAATAAACATTATCCAGATGTTGACCATCACCTTGCAAAAACTCTTTAAAACTTGACCTGCCTTTTAAATAGGCCCAAAGAAAAAAGTCAGGAGTCATCATGGAATCTCTACCCGAAATTTCAAGTTTTAAGAAATTTTAGGTTGAGTTTTGAAAAATGTTTGCAAGCGCGATGTCAGGGGCGGATCCAGGAGCTCCCTAAGGGGGGGCACTAGCACAAGTAAATATAAAAAATATAGCCTAAAAAAAGAATCACAGACATTTTAAAAACATGAGTGTTTACGTAATTCTTCAGTATGCATAAAATTAATTAATAACATATCCAATACAATAATGAAATAAATAAAATTTCATGAATTATTAAGGGCCCAAGGGAGGTAATTGCATCTATTGCTTCCCCTTGAATCCGCGCACGCGCGATGTTTCACATTTTAGTGGTATTACTCTGAAAATATTTTTTCAAATGGTTACTTTAATACAATTATAAAAAAATTATGAATTATAGTTTTTTTGTTTTTTAAACCCCTCAACATTATGTATGGGATGTCCATAATTTTAAGTGGTGGATATTACAGTAGGTATAAGTACTATTTTTAAAAGCTTAAATATAGTGTATCCTAAGAAGAGTTTTAGAACGTATTTGTGTTTTTTTTAGTTTAGTTGGTAATAAACATGTTAGGTTAACAAAATTTGTTAACCTAACATGTTTATTACCAACATTTAATGTTAAATTTAACGTTAATAGTTTCGTTTTAAAATTAAAACAAATTTTTAATATTTAAGTAGCGTTACTAATACATTACCTATATTGATTTAGTTATTAAACAAGTTTTTAATTAATTTTAATTTAGTGTACTTGTGTTGTTTAAATAAATTTTTGCATATAGATAATCATAATCAAAAAGAAAGTAAAATGGTAGCATGTTGTGTTATGTTTGATAGTTTTTAATAAAGCCAAATAAAAAAGGAAATAACACCAAAAATACAATATTGTTTTTTAAACACAACAAATATACATGGACTGTAATATATAAAATATTCCTGCTCCACAATATAATGTATAATTTTAGTTTATCATACACTCTAATAAATGTCTTTTAAACTAACCTTCATTTTAATTCTGATTTAAAGATCTTCATACACACCGTGCACACTAAAAAACCGAATAAGAAAGTTTATGGTAAATCCTCGTGTTGTATACAAAAGCCGCACCAGCATTAAACTCTTCACTCTCACTTAAAGAAATTGCACTGCGACTGATCTACTTTTATATCCTACTATAAATGTCCCCTCTTTTTGTCAAAAATACCCCTTTTCGTTATTTTTAATCAATATGATGTAAAGTTTTGTAAAGCTGATAATTTTTACACAGTGTTCTACATGTCACGTAACATCATCAATATACCTGGGTAATAAGAAGTGTGATTCAATAATTATTTTAAGGAAATTAAATTGTCTAAATTTAAAAACCTAGAGGGTTAATATAAATATATTTTTAATAAAATATGTTATATTAAAATAATATACATTGAAATGAATAATATTATTTGGTTGTTTTCACCCTACATATTAATTAGTTACATGATTTTCAGATCATCTGAATCAGATGTACTTTGGGTTCACAATTTGACAGTATGTGTCTCTCCCCCTCAAAAAATGATCACAATTTAAATAATTTCCTTATCTATTTTTCTGTTTCTTATTTATATACTTGTATGCAGAAACGTAGCAAGGGGGTGTCACATCCCCCCAATTTTTCCAGAGTCGGCATTTTCCAAGTCTATTATAATACCTTCATTCCAATGTTTCCAATTTAGGGGTTTTTGAAAAAAAATGTTAAAGATACAAGAGTAAATTTGATTATGCGAATTTAATACTAGTGAATCACTAGTTGCCATTTTTGAAAGTTTTATTAGCTGCCAACCAATGCCGACTGCAGCGGCAGGTTGTGCCGATTAAGAGCTAATTGATTTAAATATTGTAAACGAAGAAAATTACTCATTTATTTTGGGAAGAATTGCAAGGATTATTAGGCAAATTTGCGGTCTTTTTTTGTCAAAAAATCGGAAATGATTAAAAGATCTTTTTAAAATAATATTAAACAAAAATAAATAAGCAATTTTTAGTTACTTTTCTTATTTATTTTTTTAGTTACAAAGAAAATTGTATAAAATTTTCAGTTGTAATAATAATAATAATAATAATAATAATAATATTAATAATACTTATTTATCCATTATGATCATATACTTACATGATATAGGACAGGTCAAAATAGAGACAATACAAACTATTGTTTAATCCCCAACATCCAATAAAGAAAAAAACATCAAAGCATGGAAGATAATAATAAAATACATTATTCTAAATTTTCAAAATTAAAACATAAATATTCGTTTACTGTATAAAACGCATTTGCAAACAACAAAGATTTAACATAATTGTTAAATTTACTGCTGAATTGATTTTTTATATAGAGTGGCAATTTGTTATACAAAAGAACACCAGCATAATATGGATTTGATTTAAATAATTTGAGTCTATGATTGCTGTATTGAAAATCAGTTCCGTGTCTTGTGTTATAATGATAATGAGTATTTATAAATACTAGTCTACTAAATTAGTCTATTAAATTGGTTTAAATTATTTTTGACAAATTTAAGAAGTTCAAAAATATAAATGCCAGATAGTGTTAATATGTTATTGGTTTTAAATATTTCTCTACATGACTCACGAGGCTTTAGATCGCACATATGACGTAATGCCCTTTTTTGCAAAACAAATACCTTTTCTGATTCAGTTGAGTTTCCCCACCAGATTATACCGTATCTTAATATTGATTCGAAATAAGCATGATAAAAAATCTTTACAGTTTCTTTTGGGCAACTTTAATTAATCGTTTTATTGCAAAACAATTGTTTAAGTTGAAGTTAATTTATTGCAAACATATTGCACATGTGATTTTCACTTTAAACCCAAATCAAAATATACTCCAAGAAACTTAAATTCTGAAACTTGAGCAATGGACTTATTTTTAATTTTTATTAGTGGACTTTCAATAGCTATTTTCGCGGAGCTAATCCCGAACCAATTCCGGACATCCTAGGCATGCGCTTTTTAAAATTTGGGATTAAAAATGTAAAGTGCGCATGACAAATATTAAAATGCGCATGCCTAGGATGTCCGAACTAGTTCAGGATTAGCACCGCGAAAACATCTTATATAATTACTCGGAATGGGAAAAAATTGAAGAAAAAATGTTTTATCTATATTTAACCCATGTAAGTTTGTTTGTGTTAAAATAATAACGCAAACTTAAAGAGAAATTCGAAACGTTATTGTCATGTTTGATGATTTTTTAAAATTTCGTTATTTTATGCTGACTAATAAATTTTCATTTTCTAGGGCTATAACTTTTTGTAAATAAACAAAATCGGTTGTGTTTTTAAATAATGTTTACGTATTTACGTATTTGGACATTTAATTTTTTTCCTGTTAAAGGCCAAGTGGCAGCCGCAGCAGTTGATACACATTTTGGCGCGCATTGGAGAATTTTCCGTCACTTTTCTTAAGACTTTAGGCAATTGCATTTTTTCTTCAATGTTTTTTTAGGGTTTACAAGGTCTGGGGCATGTTTACATTAAGGCAAAAGTTCAAATATTTCCAAAGAAAGAAGTCTGGAGTTGTCAAATCAGGCAAGCAAAATAGCAGAATGCTCGCGATATTTCACGGTTTCCCGGTCATTTGGCCAATATTATTTTCTTAACTTAACAAACATTATTTACAAACAAAACCGGTTTTTTCATTAACAAACAAAGTTAAAGCCTTAGGAATACGAGTGATTACTTTTAAGGAAAATGGTCTAAAACGCGACCAAAAGTGCATCCTCTGGCGGCAGCCACTTGACCTTTATTATTTTTTCGACAGAAAAAAAATTAAGGGTCCAACTAAACATTATTCAAAAACAGAAACAATTTTTTTCAGTTAGGCTCAAAATGCGTTGATGCAGATTAAAAATGTAAAGTTGAATCGTCAGCAAGTAATACAGGTATCCACACTGGAGTCTTGAACTTGAACTTTTCTGGATTTATGCCGGAATAATGTCACTAAGCTTATAATTTCAGCTGCTTTTTTATGTTTTTTTGGCACTCTTAGAAAGCGTATCCAACTATTTCAAACTGATTATAGCTCACCTGATATTCGCATGATTTAGAATTCTTCGTTTAAGAAAAAAAATATTTGGAAACCCAGCTACCACGAGACGATTCCTTTCAGAGAAAATTTTTTTGATGACAGTATCTACAAAAACTAAATAAATAATGGTGAAATAAATCTAGTGTCCAAAATAATCTGATTGTCGCATTGATTAAACTAATAGTACAGTCATCTTAGTCAAAAAAAGGGATCAACCTCGGAATCTAACGGAATAAGCTGAATTTTTGTGAAAACCTTTATTTTAGCATTACAAATGTTGTCTCAAAAGTCACATATGCCAACGTGTGAGCGGCCTTAGATATTCAAGGTCAAAGGTCGCAAAAATCAGTTTTTTAAGAATATCTCGTTTTCTCTGCCTCCTATCGTATTTGCATTTATTATAAAAGTTGTAGAAAATAAAATTCTCTACAAATTTTGTTAAAAAAAATTTTTATACGTTGAACCGTTTTTGAGATAGAGGGCGCAGAGTGTGGAGCGCTCAGCCATACGTACCTTTAGCGCAAGATAAATCGTGAATCCCAATCTATTATACCGTTTTTTAATTAATTATATAATAAATATTACTAAAATAAAAATTTAATACCTTATACTTATATTTATATTTCTTTTAAATCAAATATATTTTATCTTCATATACCTATATCTTACTCTCTAAAAATGAATTAGTTAAAAATGACTAATTTAATAGTTATTAGTGGCTGCTTTTTCACTTGTACCATGGTTAACCATGGAATACCATAGTATCCCAAAATTTAACAGCCAATTCCTATGTAAAATTGTCCCCTGAATCCGAAAATGTCGTCAAAAGTTAAAAAACTAGAACAGTTTTTGAGATATAGTCAATTTTCCATTTCATATGAAATTGACTATATCTCAAAAACTGCTCCACTTTCATTTCGGATTCAAGGGACAATTTTACATAAGAATTGGCTGTTAAATTTCTTGATACCATGGTATTCCATGGTTAATCAAGGTACAAGTGAAAAAGCAGCCACTAACAACTATTAAATTAGTCATTTTTGACTAATTCATTTTTAGAGAGTATATTTTAATTTAATTTTAATGAAGGATAATTGAATCGGAGTAGGAAAAAATGTTTTTATTTATATCAATATAATTATTATTATTAATATTATTAATCTTTATCTTTTTCATCCTCGTCTTCTTCAGGTTGGCCAGCAATTTCAGACTCATTCTCATCATCTCTCTCCTCGTTATCATTGACATTAATTGTCATATCTTCAAAAACGTACACTGAGAAAAAAATGGGACAAATAAACTGTTTACCTAATACTTTTATTTGTAGTGAATATATTGTTTATTACCTCTAAATAGTCGAAATAATAACGATAAATATACTTTAGTAAAACTTTATATGTCAGGAATAAAAATATATTTAGGATAAATAAACTGTACCCTTGTCCCATATTTAAATATTTTTTTTATTTGGGAGCAATAAACTTTTTTCTCCGTGTACTTATAACGCGTTTGTACTTTGCAGATTTTTTTGCCTTTGTTGCCTCATCCGCGACTTCACCACAAAATAAGCACAATATTTTAAAATCAAACACATCATTCCCTTTTTTACGAGGTACAGTTGATGACGTTGAAGGTCCAGTCTCTTCAAGGCGACGTTTTGCTGCTGCAATTTTACTATAGTACGTTATAGCGTACAATTTTCGACACTCAATATGAACGTTCACAGAATTCAAAGTATTTAGGTAGTTTATGTTTATTTCTCTCAATAATTGCTTCTTTTAAAGTCTTTATACCGCGCACAAAAGTCACAGAATCACCTTCAGAAAGTAACTTATTACAAATAAAACACAAATCAGCCATGTTAACCTTTAAAATATTACGAATATTACTTGTCACAACCCTAGACCTATACCTAGGGTCACAACTTGCTTTAAAATTTAATATAGGTATACCTAACCTTTTTATTTATAGCAAGCCCACTATAGTATTTCCAGGTCTGTTATTTTAAAAGCAATATCTGGATCCAAGAGATGACCAGAGA